CTGGCCTTGAGCTTGAGATCCTCCTGCCTGTTTTGTAGCAACTCAAGACTCTTGGAAACCTATGAAACAGAAGTACGTAAGATCTAGGTGTGGTGGCACACACCTGTAATCCCCATTCTTGGGAGGCTGAGGCAAGAAGATAAAAAACTTGAGGTGAGCCTAGACAATTTAACAAGACCCTGGCTCAAAATAAAATATAAAAAGGGCTGGGGGCGCAGTTTAGTGATAAAGTGCCCTGGGTTCAGCCCCCAGCACTGCAAGAAAAAGGGAGGTGAGGAGAGTATGTAAGAAGTGAATAAAAAAAATTAGACTGTTAGCTGTGGTAGGACTAAATCACTTAATTGAAATTTTTTTTGATAGTAAAGTATCTTGGATTCTTGAAGAAAATGGATTTTTGAATCTTAGTACATTTAAATTTTTTCTTGAGTTTTGTTCAATATATCTTCCACTTTATCCCACATCTTTTTTTTATCTCTTCTCACATTATTTTGTATATTACTCTATCTCCAGTTTTAAGACTCTAGTCAAACCTGTATGTTGGGGCTTTGCATTTGAAATTTTAAAATATTCAGTACATTTAATATTAATTTTGTTCCCCCTTTTTCCTTTCTATTTAATGTGAGCTACAAGAGAACTTTTCTTATATAGATATCTAAACATATAGTTTCTATGCTTGTAATTTTAAATACTAGTTTTCGATCTTAAGTAGCTTAGGGGCTACAGTAATGATGAGCATTGAATAAAATATTGACAATTTAAGATATATTTGTTGTAAATCAAGAGTTCAAGAATGTAAATAATACTAGAGACATTTCTTAGAGTTTAAGAACATGATTGTATTTATTTTATGAAATGAAAAAGTCTTGACTGATAGATTTCGTGATCATTATGATAGGTAATTGTTAATAAAAGTAGGGGCTGGGGATTTAGCTCAGCTGCACAGTGCCTGCCTGGCAAGTGCAAGGTTGTGAGTTCGATTCCCAGTACCAGAAAATAAATAAATAAAACTAGAAAGCTAAAAATCAATTTCATGGAAACTGAAACTGTATTCTTTCCATGAAGTTAAAAATGAAATGTTTAAGTAAAGATACACTAAATCATATACCCATTATGAATAATTGGTATATTGGTTTGTTCTTCTTGTTGTTACCTTCTATGAATATTTTTTTAAAATTTCCTGTGAAGTATCAGTGGATGAAAAAAATTTCCAAAATTGTCCTTCAATTATAATCTATATCACTGCGGAAATACATATTTTTTTTTGCTTCAACACAGTTCTAGTTTATCTCTAGTTTCATATGATGTTTATCTTTCTATTTATTGATGAGTACACTTACAATTGACAAAATTCCTGAAAAGACAATCTGACATGTTGATGCGAATGGTATTCTTAAATATAGTATTCAGGGGACACTGCTAGTGTTGAGAAGTTTGAAGCATGACTATAACGACTGTCTCCTGATAGGAATTATTTACTGCAGTCTCTGACTCCTTGCTTATGTAGTGACGATAGCTGAAGGTACCTTTGAACTTCACTAGATCTCTACAAGAATTTGCACTTATTTTTGGTGTTGCTTGTAATGCCATCGTTTCTCTTTCAGGAAAATCCTTTTGCAAATCGAAGGAGAGGATACTTTTTGTTCAGGGTATGAGTGTACTATATTTTTTAATCGATTGATATCAAACTCAAAAAATTCACTGTGGATTTAACTGACTCATAAGTTTCAGTTAGGTTCTGAAGTTTATTTGTAGGCACGTGACATCCAGCATCAAAGCCTGACGTTCACTCGGTCATTACCTGATTGCTTTAATACCACAATGCCTCCAATCTCTCCTCTGATTCACTGCTCATGTTGTAAATGCTGCAGAGGACATTTATCCACTTGAAAGTTTAATTTCCATGGATAGGAAGTAAATGTCTCAAATATTCTTATTTCTTAAATTCCAAGGGATCATTCACTAAGTTTTAGATTCACTAGTTTGGAAGAGTTATGACTATTTTCACAAAGCCTTAAAAGAATCAAATATAATAATAATAGTTTTATTATTTCTACTTATAACCTTGAGTAGAAAAGAACTGGGGCTGGGATTTAGCTCAGCGGCACAGCGCCTGCCCGGTAAGTGCAACGTCATGAGTTCGATTCCCAGTACTGGAAAAAAACTATTTCTTCTTATAGCCTTAAGTAGAAAAAGCTTTGTGATTGCATTTCTTATTTTGTATGCCCAAATCATGTATGAAATATGTTTCTTTCTAAACAGTTGTGCTTTATGAAATATTTTCATCCTTAATACATTAGCAGAAAATTTTAATTTGCTCATTCAATAACTACTATACTTTACTGGGCACTACCCAAGTACAAATGAATGGGAATTAAAGATAAGATTCAATTTCTACACCTCTAGGGGCTGGGGATTTAGCTCAGTGGCACAGCACCTGCCTGGCAAGCGCAAGGTCGTGAGTTCGATTCCTGGTACCAGAAAAAAAAAAAAAATTCTATACCTCTGAGTTCATAGCCCAGTCAAGGAAACAAATAAATACAAAGTATAGTCAGCCTGGTATCCACAGCGGCTTATTCCAGGACACCCCAAGGATACCAAAATCTGAGGATTCCCAAGTCTCTTATGTAAAATGACATATTTGCATACCACATCCTCTTGCACATTGTAAATCATCTCTAGGTCGCTTATATTACCTAATAAAATGTAAATTCTATATAAATAGTTATTATACCATACCATTTGAGGAATAATGACCAAAAATTGGTCAGTATGTGTTTACTAGTGGCACAATTTTAAAAATATTTTTGGATGTCAAAATTGGGTATAGAGGGCATCTTTAGTCTGAGAGCTGTGGATTCCTCCAAAGACATCACTGAAGGAACGAAGGCAATGTAGAAAAGCCTTCATGGGCTGAGTCCTGAAGAACTAATGAGAATCAATTGATAAAATATTTAGCTAAAAATTTTCAACTTTACTGTGCTGGTGAGACCTGCATTTTGGAAAATTATTCTAACAGAAATTGGAGAATGGAGGATGAAGAAACTCGCTTGAAAAAGGAAGTGGTAGTAAATGACTGTGAATTTAGTGAGTTAATTTTGGTTGAGGGGCTGGGGATTTAGCTCAGCGGCAAAGCGCCTGCCTGGCAAGCGCTTTCTCCCGGTACTGGAGAAAAAAAACAAAAAAAAAAAAATTTTTTTTTGGTTGATATCAAATTAAACTTGAACACACTTCTTTTACATTTTTGAGACTATCAAGAATATAAGCAAAATCAGATGATATCTCATTTATTATGGTCCTCAGCAGCTTTAGCAGCACCTAAGACCCTATTAGAAATGCAGATTTGGGGAGCCCACCTCAGACTTACTAAATTAGAAATCCAGCTACAGGGTCCAGCAGTCGCATTTTTGTGTTGTCAAAAACCCTCCAGGCCATTCTGATATACATTAAAGAAACACCTCTCTATATCCTTGTGACATTTCAACATTCTATGAATATTAGTTTCCATTCCTAGTTACACTGACTTATTTCTAATTTTTTTTCAGCCACGCAATGGGAGAAGGTCAGCAGGTTTTATTTAAAATGGTATGTGTTTTTTTAATGATATGTAATAGATACATAAATGACATGTGTTTCCTAATCTACTTCAACCTAAAAATTTCTGTTGTTTTCAAATATGCACAAATTAAACTATGTCCAGTGTATTTTATTATTTGATTGCTTGTGTATACTAATATTCTGTATCACTACTACAACTATAGGGGCAATGGTGGTGTCATATGAAAAATACCAATGTTTTCAAGCCAGACTTGCCTTGCCATAGTATTCCTCAGACCATACCACAGTTGTAATCATCCTGATTGATCTGGAGATGTTGACTTCATCACGAGCATCGTTCAAGCTGTGCATGTCCTCCTGTGATAGTCAGTGTCCACTATAATGAATCAGGACTTACAGACTGGGTGTACTTCTGTCTTCCGAGTAACTCATACTCAGAGATTCTCTGTAAAAGCATATGACTTACAGACCTAGAGAATTAAGAGACTGGAAATGCATAAGAATATGACTTCTATTTCACTGCTTGCAGAGTTTCTACTCAGTGCTGGGCATAAAATACAAGCTTACTAGCCAACGGCTTTTAGGCATATTTATTAAACATGTGGGACCAGTCAGTAGCCACTGGCCTCACGTGTTTAATAAATGTTAACCCTAATAACTTAATAAACTATAAATTTAAAGTAAACTGAAATGCAGACTATTAAATTTATATCACAAAATAAAACTATATTCTGTTAAATTTACATATACTAAATCCAGATTCCATCTTGAATATATTTTTGCAGATATTTCACTCATTTCATTTACCTCAACCCTTAAGTATACTTACCTTAGGAATGTTAAAATTCTTGCTGGATGTGGTGATGCACACCTGTAATCCAGCTCTGGGGAGGCTGAGGCAGAAAGATCATGAGTTTGAAGCCAGCCTTGACTAAGGACTGCATATTGAACCCTACATATTGAGCCCTTGTCTAAAATAATAAGTTAAAATTCTTAATATTTTTTCAAAGAAACAAAACCAAGTGTACCATTTCTAATTAAAGAAGATACTAACACCAAAACACACAGTATCTAGAAAGTTAAATAATGAAACCACTCCATAGTAAATCTTAGGAGACTTTGTCAAAGCCCTGTTCAGCAGGAATTTTAAGGCCTCAGCCAAGCAAGAGTAAGTGAATTGGGGCTGGGGATTTAGCTCAGCGGCAAAGCGCCTGCCTGGCAAGTGCAAGGTCGTGAGTTCGGTTCCTGGTACCGGAGGAAAAAAAAAAAGAGTCAGTGAATTGCCAGGTGTGATGAGTTCCCAGCTACTCAGAAAGCTGAGGCCAGATGATTTCAAGTTTGAGGGCAACCTAGGCAATACAGTGAGACCCTCAGCTTAAAATGATAATAATGAATTAAGAATTTAACTTTAGTCAAAAAAAAAAAAAAAAAGAGCAACAGGTGACTCTTTGGCAAGAAGGAAGTTATAAAAATAAAACAAAGAAATTTATTAATTAAAAAATAGTAAAGTAGAAAAATGGTTAACAATAAAAGTATGATTCATGTTTGTTTGTTTGTTTGTTTGTTCTGAGACAAGGTCTGCTTATGTAGTTCAGACTGTCTTTGAGCTCCCTGTGTAGTCCAGGCTGGCCTCAAACTTGTGGTAATCCTCCTGCTTCAGCTTCCCAAGTGCTGGGACTATTGGCATGCACCACCACATTCAGCTCAAAAATCTGATTCTTTATAGAAAATAAAATATGCTAGCCTATTTTGTCTAGCATAATCTAGAAAAAAGGATAAAACCATAAATATACAGATATACACATGAAAAGACAGAAATTGAATGATATAGAAGAAATGAAAATAGAAAAAGAATACCTTGCACATTTCTGTGTTATGTTTGTAAACCTGTGCTCAGTGGAGCATTATCTACTAAGGTAGGGTCTACCAAAATTGACCTTAGAAAAAAGAAAAAAACCAAAAACATACTAAAAGCTAAAAGAAAACATTGAAACTGTTATCAAGAAACTGTCCCATTAGAAAGTACTAAGACAATAGATTTTGAATTTTTTAGCTCAAAAAAAAATCTTGAAATATTTTTATGAAGTCAGCATAATATTAATACTAAAACCTAACAAAAACACAACATGGAAGCTGAAGATCACTTCTCTTGATAGCTATCAACACCAAAATTTTAAGGATCTATTAGTAAATAGTATGTGTCACTATTTTTAAGAAATTACAGGGCTGGGGATTTAGCTCAGTGGCGTAAGCCCCTGCCTGGCAAGCGCAAGGTCCTGAGTTTGATCCTTGGTACAGGAAAGAAAAGAAAAAAACAGGAATTACATATGACTCCACTAAGTGAGATTTGTTCTGGCAATTTAAGGATGATTCAGCAGTAGGAAGTCCATTAAAATATACCAACATTAAAAGAAAAGTATCTGATAATCTTGACAGATGATTCTGGTTTGTTTTTTTGTTTTGTTTGGTTTGGTTTCGTTTGGTTTTTCTCCGGTACCGGGAACCAAACTCATGACCTTGTGCTTGCCAGGCAGGTGCTTTGCTTGATAGATGATTCTGGTAAAAAAAAAAAAAAAAAAAAAATCCATACCAATTTCTGATCTTTTAAGAAAAAATTCTTGTAGAAAGAGATGAATCCTTTCTTGACATTATTTATATAATGATTTCCAAGTAAAGTTGGCAGCGGGTTTGGTAATGAAACACATCAGAGAATTTCTATTTATGTCAGGAACAGAATAAGTGTACCCTCATTTTTTTGTTCAGTGTATCCTGAGGGCCAGCCTGGGCAACACAGACCCCCTCTGTGTGTATGTGTGTGTGTGTGTGTGTGTTACTTGGGATTGAACCAGGGACCCTCTCTACTGGTCTATATTTGAGACAGGCCCTCGCTAAGTTGTCTAGGCTGCCTCAGAGCTTACAATCCTTCTGCCTCAGTCTGGGGTAGCTGGGTTACAGGCATGTACCACTGTGTGCGGGCTAATGTAGTTTACCTCATGCAATGGCCCAATAAGCATTTGTCATCTCAGTTAGGTAAGGATAAATAAAGGATAGATATGTTGGAAAAGTGAAGGAAAAATATAATGTGCTCATGGATCATGATCAAGAACTTGGATTTTAAAACTGTGTTTAGCATTAACTACTATTTTGAATGAAACATGATAAATTATGTCCATATGAGAAAAGATGCTTATTTCAAACAACTAAGAACAATTAATGGAAAAACTGTTTTATAGTATTACACATGAACATGCGCACTTACCAAAAGAATCGGTGATTGTGACACCAAACTAAGTGCTGAAGTGTGAAAAAGCAATTTGGTGATAATTTTCCTCCCTTTTGACATCTGGTTGTCTAAGATCTTCCTCTATCCTGATGACTTATATTTAGAAAGTGGTTATCCATAAAATGATTTAAGTGGAGATATACTGTACAAGGAAAGATACACAAGGAGTAACTGTAACTTTTGAAACATTCATAAATCGTATTGGCGTTAATGAACTTTAGGGAACCACTTTCATATGATTAAATACTGTAAACTTTTGCAAAACATAGTCATACCAAGTAAGCATGTCATTAGCAAGAGATAGTGATACATGTAAAAAGTATATAGACTGAAGAATAGTTGGGAAATATCTCAGGTGCTAATGTTATTCTAACTATGATACAATATTTATAGAAATATCTATGTAAAAATATATATATATTCACATACTTATTTACACTTGAACCTAATTCAGTTTTCTTTTTTTTTTTTTATAGGCACCAACTAACTTTCCACAGAAACAATGTATGGAATACATTATGTACTGATATTTTGGTTTTTTCTCAAAAACAATCTTCCCTAAGTTTACTCTGTTGAAAATTCCTGTGTTTTGAATATTGTCAGTAACATTTAGTTGAGATTGCAAATATTTAACTTGTTGAAAATAAAAAGCATCTTAAAATATTTTTCTTAGTGTCACAGTGATAATTAGTGAACGGTAAAGCTGTAAATAATGATGTTCATGGAATGTGATTGTTGACAATACCGGCCCACACACTTATTTCATGTTTTATTCCAGCCATTCATGACCTGACTGAATGAGCTGTTGTAGGTTATCCCATTTAGATTCTATAGCTAGATTCTTAGAACTTGAATACCAACTAAAACTACATGCCTGGAGGTTTGTTCATAACCCATCCAATGGCCCAGTATGTACTTTCTAATTTATATATGGTAAAATATGATGCATAACCTGGGGCTTTTCCTGCCAGCTTGTAATATTCAGCTTACCTCAAAATAAGTTATGGTACCCTACAACATCTGGTTTTTTTTTTTTTTTTTGGTTTTTCTCCGGTACCAGGAACCGAACTCACGACCTTGCGCTTGCCAGGCAAGCGCTTTTGCCGCTGAGCTAAATCCCCAGCCCCCCTACAACATCTGAAAGACAACCTGTCGTCCATTATCAGAAAGAAATCAATCCTATTAGTAGAGAATCATAAACCTATTTGGGGAACTTTTTACATCAAATCAACGTTTAATGGACATAAAATTAAGCCTGACTCTCTCTCCCACCCCCATCCCACGGCCTTCCAGTTTCCCTGGCTGTTTTCCTTTTGACCTCTCTCTTGAATGCTGTGTTCACTAAAGAAGTTGCTGGCTGATTGGAGAGGTGGCTTTTTTTTTTTGGTTTTTTTCCAGTACCAGGAATTGAATTCACGACCTTGCGCTTGCCAGGCAGATGCTGTGCCCCTGAGCTCAATCCCCCACCCTGGATTTTTTGATAAATCCTTGATTGTGTCCATTAAACATTAAGCATTGATCATCTAACAAGATTAGGTAATCTACTCTGATTTTGACCAATGGCTATAGTTTACATTATACCTTTCAGTAGAAAGTTCCTGAATTTCACTTCTCATCAACCTGAAGGAAGAACATAAGAGGAACAAGAGGCTAAAAATTTCATTCTTTAAAAAGTGAATTGCCAGGCCGGGGATGTAGCTCAGCAGCACGGTGCCCGCTTGGCAAGCGTGAGGCTGCCAATTGGATTCCTGGTACCAAAACGAAGAAAGAATTGCCCTGACAAAGTAGGGTCTTGGGAGCAGTGTAGGCCCCCGCCCTAAAGCCACAAATGCATGGGACAGCGTTAGATGTTTTTTTGTGCGGTAACTCAAGTAGCCTGGACTTTTGACTGTGAAGATAAAAAAAGGGATTTAAAGGTTAAGTAGTAATTTCTAGGGCCTATTGAAAATCCAGAAAGACATAGGTTTCTTACACATTTTAAGGCTCCTAGGATAAAAAAGGGAGAGGGGGAGGAGCAGAAATACCAACATGAAAATTGTGGTCATGCAGTTTATGTTCCTAGGGATTTATGTTTAACAAGTTAGTGTCTCCTACACAAACAGCAGAATATATAGGCTCTCAGTGGTATAGGATCTGTATTAAGTACTAACCAGGAACTACAGATTAAGTGGTCCAGTGTCAAACTTGTTCAAAATTGTGTCATTAAAGGATTTTTTCTTGTTTCCCAAATTCCAGTGAGTGTGTTGCTAGGACCATGTACACAGCCATGTGAATGACACCCAGTGCCCGAGCTGCCTAGCAGCTCTCCGTACACTTCTCCTTAACTCACAGCCAAGGACTCCACCTGCCCAGATCTCCTGCCCAAAGCCAGAGCTTCCCTCTCCCAGGGCAGTGAGTTTTCAAACCGGAGTTGCAGAACCCGCAGGCCCGTTTGAGAATCTGATGAAAGCTCTGATCCTTAACTCTGGGGGTGGGGGCGGAGAAGGGGGAATATACACACAAAAACAAAACTGTTGTAAAACTGGAGGCTGGGGATTAAGTATCCCCTCATATCTAACTGTAGAGTATGGACTCCAGGTTAAGAAATCTGAAAGGTTCTCCATCTCAGGAGTTTGTCCCTCCACCCTTCCACGCCTGGGTCTCCAGAGGGATTTATTTATTTTGCCAATAGAAAAACATTTCAATAATTTATTATTGAAGGGGCTGGAGATTTAGCTCAGCGGCACAGCGCCTGCCTGGCAAGCGCAAGGTCGTGAGTTCGATTCCCTGTTCCGGGAAAAAACAAAACAAAACAAAAAATAATAATTTATTATCGAATCCACGAGGACCCGAGATTTGAAGGGTGCCAGCGGCTTAGAAACACTGGTTGATTTGGCGACAGTGCGGACGGGGAAAGGGTATGAGGAATGCCAGCCTCGGTACCACCAGAGAACAGGAAAGGCATGCTTGGGACAGTTGCTCCAGGACCTGGCGGGTCCGTACCCATCGCCGTCACCTAGGCCACGCCTTTGCGTTGCCTGGCAACGGAGCTCACCTGCACACCTAGGAAGGAAATCCTCCCTCCCCCCTCCCCGCGGGCGGGCGTTGGAAACCGCTAGGCCTGCGGCGGCGTCTTCCAGCCTGGAGGAGGCTTCAGGTCTCAATCGCGTCCTGAAGTCCTGAGGTCTCAGTCCCACCTCGCACGGGTGGGATGACACGGGGGTGTGAGCGGCACAGAACATCATGCAGGTGAGGTCGCCGCCCTCTGGGCCAGACGGAGCACAGGCAAGGGCCTCGCTGGACCCCAGGCTGACGGACGGGCGTGGGGAGATGGGCCACAGCACGCGGTTCTAATATTTGCTCGTGGTCAGTGCTGAATTTTCATTCAACTCTATCTGGTTTTGAAAGAAGTCTGAATTAGCTCTGGATGAAGGCCATTTTTTCACTTTCAAGACTGGTGTGTCGCTAGACGAATCGGTCAGGGTTCAGCATAGTCTTTCACACCTGAATGCTAGTAATCCTACTGCCTGCGCTCTTTTTAAATTTTATTTAATTCTTATTAGTACGTGTTTGCAGTGCATTATGATTATGCTCATTGTGGGACGTTGGTACTTCTACATAACACATCTTAATTCTCTTTATGACACACAGTTTCTGACTTCAGAATAGCAAGATTAGCCAAGTGTAATTCAGTTTAACTGTCCTCTCCTACTATCACGAAATAGACAAAAAACAACAACAGAAACCTTAACTTCAGTAACTGCATGTCTTAAGAAAAAGCAGCTGTCTCTGGAGTTTTTCCTACCTGATCACAAAAACTGTGTTAGATTTATTAAGATATCTTACAAGGCCTCACAGCCTACAGATCCCTCATTAACCAGAAGCCTGTGCTTTTATTTTGTCTTTTCTTTTGCAGAATAAAACTTTCGCTTTCTGACTTACAAAAATAGGTTTTTCCATTTGCTCCCCCAAATTGAAAATACTGAAATTTTTCTTGTTTTACACATTTAATTTCAATAGTTGAATACACCAGTGTACTAGTATATGTGATTTATTAGGATATTTTACACATAAATTGCACTTAATTTTAGCGACTGTATTAATAATACAACCTTAGGAAGTATATTTCATACAGTGTGCAAACACAATACAGATTTTCCCTGATTTTAGCTAAAAGGAAACTAAGCTGGGTGTGGTGGCACACACCCGTGATCCCAGCACTTGGGAGGCTGAGGCTGGAGGATTTCTGTAAGTTTGAGGCCTGCCTGGGCTATACAGTCAGTTCACAGAGTGAGACCTTGTTTTAAAAAAAAAACAAAAGCAAAAGGTAATTTAATTTAGAGTGAAAGCAGCCGCACACTAACTTCTTTGTTCCTCTACTCACTCCTTGATTCATCAGCAGTCATTTACATAGTTCTCGTGAGAGATATGGACCTATTATAGAAGAATTTACTCTGAGGAAATAAGAGATATAACTAGGCATAGTAAAACGCCATCATAGTTTGAGGAAATCAATAGTGGTGCCTACTTATGTTAGGTAAAATTTCATAATTTCTAACAGTAAAGGGAACAGCAAAGAGCATGTGCTGGTACATTAGGTCCCATGCCAACCAACTCCTGGATCCGCCAAAGAAGAGCCAAAGAAGTGTGAATAAACCCGCAAGAATACGGTGTCAAGAATGTCAGGAAAGACCACTGTAGCAAGAAAAGAACTAATTCAAAGTCTGAGAAGAGATCCAGTGCAATGCCTGGCCACTGGACTTAGCAATACACAGTTCGTAGGTAACGTTAGCAGAGAAGTCGTATTGGAGGCTGAGGCCAAAGTTGGCATGGGTTGAAAATGAATAGGACTGGCGACTAGGACTTGCTGGAGAATTTGGAAGAAGTTGTCTTGATACTTAAAGGACAGGAGTGAAACCTGTCACCGGGAAATTTTGGCTCAGAACAGCTTCCACGTGCCTGAGACACAGTTGAGTGAGGCAGCGGACCGCAAGCTGTGAATCTGGTACACAATGGTCAGCTTCTGTGGTGCTCCCGAGGACTCACAAGAAATAAGTATAACATAACATAAACAAGGAGCAAAGATCTCGAGAGAGAGCATCATGACCCTGAACCAAGAAAAACAGAACTGCAGGTGTGTGTGGTGATCCCAGCAATCCAGAGGCTGAGGCAGGAAGATTGCTTGGTTCAAGGCCAGCCTGAGCTACATAAAGAGACCCTGCCTCAGAAAGCAAACAAAAGCAAGTAAACAAACAAAACGCAAACTTGCTGAGACTTCGGGATTAGAATAGCCAGAAACAGGTTATAAAGCAACTGTGATTATTCTGTCTAAAAGAAAAAGACCTGTCTATGTAGAGTAGAAGGCTATTAAAAAGTGACCTTACATTTTTGATAAAGGCATTTCTATGTAACAGCAGTGAACAGTCTGGAAGGAAATTAAGAAAATAATTCCATATTAGTAATGTCAAAAAGAATAAAATACAGTATTCAGTAAAAAAACTTAACTAAGGAGGCCAAAAATTTGTATACACGAAACTATAAAATATTGCTAAAAGAAATTAAAGAAGATATCAGTAATCCCAGAATATATCCCATGTTTGTGGATTAGAAGACTTATTATTGTCAAAAAGTCAATACTACCAACAGCAATACCTAGTCTCAGAGCAATCCCTGTCAAATCCAAACCCTTTTTTTTTTTGCAGGCGTGGAAAACCCCACCCCAAAATTCATATGGAATCTCAAGGGAACCAATAGCCAAAATAATCTTAAAAAGAATGATTATCACCGATAGGGAAAATAATAGACCTTTGAAAGTTAGAATCATTTCAGTTAGAGACAAGCTGCTTTCCCAAACTTCCTCCTGCCTAGATTGTAAATCAGAACCAACCGCCTCCTCTCTTCCCTCTGATAAACAGACAGACTACGGAGCTGCTGGTTCCGGGGTCCAGCTTTGTTTTCACAAAGGAATGGAGTTGTCTATCATTTCATTGTATTCTCCTCCTGTCTCCCTTAATACAAAATACCCTTGTACACATACACATAATAAGATGCTGATCTGAGGCAATATGAGGTCCCTCCATCTCCTTCGAGCTAGTTTTGAGTAAAGCCTTTTTTTCCTTTCACCAAAATTAATGGCCTTCCATGATTTGCGGGGAGAGTATTGCTCAATAGAGCAATACTCTATAGAGCAATCTTCCTGCCTCAGCCTCTGGATTGCTGGGATCACCACACACACCTGTATGCTCTACAGACCTGAGCTGCCCGTAGCACAATGTTAGAGGACCTGAACTGAACAGTGTAATGTTGTCCTACAGTGTGGATGTCCTTAACATCACCAAACTGTATGTTTAAATACAGTTAAAATGGTATTATATATGTTTTGCCACAATAAAAATATTTTATAAATAGCCAAGTAAAACATGTAAAAATTTAAAACTGCAACAAATGCAATTTAGAATAGCAATAGATGGGTTTTTTTGTGTGTGTGTTTTTTTAGGTCAGAAGACTAGAAATAGGAAGTTTGGCAGAAAGAGTTCAAGGAATATATGTATATTTTTGAGGTTAGGACTAGGGAAATTTATTGAGGAAAAGGAATGGGGAGTGGGTGGTGGTTGTTGCTGTCTGAGACAGGGTGTCACTATGCAGTTCAGGTAGCCTTGAACTCGCTCTGTAGCCCAGGCTGGCTTGAACTCACAATGGTCCTCCTGCTTCGTGTCCCACCATGCCCAGAGGAATGAGGATTAGGAATAGCTCCCAAGAGACAGGAGGGATCCCAAACGGATTGCCCTGTAATATTTGATGAGACAATTTCTGCGAATTTTCTATGGCTACAAAAAGCCCAGTGAGCCCATTCAAGACAAATAAAAGAATATTGTACATAAATAAAGAAATAAACAAAGACAAAGAAATACTGTACAGCTCTTGATTCATCATGGAAAATCTGCAGAAAACTGTAGACGAAGCAAACCTTGACTGAATTCAGACAATTAAAAGTCAGATTATCTTTAAAAGTTTCTTAAAGTGATAGCTGATAGCAATAAATATAACAGCCAGAGCTGGGTCTCACTGAAGGTGTAACAGAGGAGGAATCCACGTTGTCATTACACGGTAGGTGGTAGGACTCAGTGCTTTTTTGCCTCTTTGGCTGAGGTTTTTAATTTCAAGTTGATTCATGGTCACAGATGCTTGCTACACAGTTCTCTTCCTAGAACACCTCACAGTATGGCAGCCTGCTTTGTCAAAGTCGGGAAGTGAACTGGCTGGTAATGGAAGCTGTAATCTTATAGACTGTAACAATGTCTTCATCTTTGCTATGTTCACTGGTTCGAAGCAAGCATCTGATCACACAGAGAAAGATCATTCAAAGCTATCCTAGATTTTGTCCACTACAGTGTTTACTACTCAAGTGTGTAATTAATTTCTCTGTTTCTCTGAAAATATCAGAGAATGTGGACAATAGGCTAAAGGAACAATATGGTAGACAAACTCTGGAAAAGCTGCAAACAAAAGATCAGTGATTAAGTAACAGTGAAAACAAAACTAACTTTTATAGAAAAAGATGATTGGGAAGAAATTGAACTCCAGAAAGTCTCCTGACCTCTTCTGTGATTTAACCCCTGAGTGAGAATCCCACCAAGATGGGGAGCTAAAAACAGAATCAAGTTCACCTACAGGTCTTGAATGCTTACGTGTAAAACAAACCAAACCATATCTGTGCGTGCTATGAATTGGTTTCAGCCACTAGAGTCATCAGTGAATTTCCCGTGATTTATAAGTTTACTTCCTGGGGCTGGGGATTTAGCTCAGTGGCACAGCGCCTACCTGGCAAGCGCGAGGTCTTGAGTTTGATTCCCGGTCCGGAAACAAACAAAAAAATTAGTTTACTTCCTTAATATTGGATACGTATGTTCTAAATTGATTTTTATTGAACTTCTTGGTGTAACATTAAGGATAGAAGATATAATCCTCTTAATGCTGAGAAATGTGAAAAAGCAAACTACTTTGTTCTATTCTTTAAAACTAATTATTTGTAGAGTTCACAAACAATTACATACTTGGAAATGCTGCATATCATCAATTTGACAAGTACGTATTAAAATCCACAGCTGTGTCAATAGCTTTTCTTTTCTTTTTGTGAAGGACCCAAATGAAGATACAGAATGGAACGACATTTTAAGAGATTTTGGCATTCTTCCTCCAAAAGAAGAACCAAAAGATGAAACTGAAGAAATGGTCTTACGGTTACAGAAAGAAGCCATGGGTACAGTTGTGCATTTGGCGGGCTAGATGCAGGGGATAGCACAGTTAAGGTGCAATATTGTACTTCACAAATTTCAAAAGAGACATAAGAAATTATTTCAGATAAACTCCATCTATAAATTCAAAATTGGGGTATTGGGCCAGGGATATAGCTCAGGGGCACAGCACCTGCCTGGCAAACGCAAGGTGCTGAGTTCAATTCCTGGCACCAAAAAAAACTGGGGTATTAACATATGAAGTGGCTAATTCACATATGAAAATCATATGCTAGTTAATGGAAGAGCTGAAATATGCTGGTATATAACCTCATGAGATTTTATATTCCTCTACCTTGTAATTGTTTTCCTTTTTGTTCATTATACAGAATCCATATTATTAGTCAAGATTTCTAGGTACTTAGGGGAAATTTAAATTTATGGGTTCTGATTAATTATCATATCTATTTTTACATATATACCCTGCCAATCCTGTGAATTTTGAAGGAATAATAAAACTTTAATGTTGTAGCTTCTACAATATGTAAACAGTTGTGGCTGAGAGCTTCAGGTTTGTTTAAAGATATACTTGATCTAAAATTATCAGAGATAATTTTCTCTAGATATTTATCGTAAAATGAAAATGGTTTTTAAACAATGATCTGCAATTTATGCTGGTTTAGTTAAACCATATGAAAAGATGAATCTTGCACAGTTGGGAGAAGCTGAAGATGATTTTGATGAAGAAGATATGAAAGCCATTGAAACATACAGGTACAATGATTCATTTGACTTACTTAAGAATTTTTGAATGAAAAAGTATTGTAAAAATGAATCCAAGAATTTTTGTGTTTATGGAATAAGTTTTAAAAAGAAGAAATCTAAATTTTAGTAGGACTTTAAAACTCTCTTTATAGGAGATAAAATTGCACAATTAAAAAATTTTTTTTCTTCTTACCTTTACTTACATACAAAGATCAGTGATTAAGTAACAGTGAAAACAAAAATTATCAGGGACTGTGAGTGTAACTGAGAGGTAGAGGATCTGTCTATTGTGTATAAAGCCCTAGGTTCAATCCTCAGGACCCCAAAAAACCCTAAAATAGAAAATTATCCAACAATGTAAAAGTAGAACTTCATCAAATTAAGTATGAGTAAAGCAAAAAATATCATTGAAAAGCCAATAAAAAACAATCATGATTTTGTATGCTAATGAGGTGACTCTTGGTGGAGGGAGTCTTCTTAGATACTTCAGGATGGGGTTGGTTTCCAGAAGAATCAACCACGTGATTAGAGGAATGGAACTTTCAGCCTTACCTCTTGTACTCTCTGGGGAAGGACAAGGGGATGGAAGTTGAATTAATCACCAAGGGCTAATGATTTAACCAATCATCCGTAGGTAATGAAACCTCCATAAAAATCTTCTAAATGATAGCTCTGTAGTCTGAATATTTGTACTCCTTCAAAATTCATGTGTTGAAACCTGACCTCCAAGCAATGGTACTAAAAGGTGGAGCATTTTGGGAAGTGATCAGGTCATGAGGGCTCCCCGCTTGGGAATGAGATTAATGCCCTTATAAAGTTATGAGGGCCAGTCATGATGGCACATGTCGGCAATCCCTACACTCTACGAGGCTGAAGCAAGAGGATTACAATTTTGAACCTAGCCTAGGCAACTTAGAAATTTACCAAGACTGTCTCAAAGAGACAAAAAAAATGTTTTTTGTCTCTTTGAGACAGGGTCTCACTATGCAGTTTAGACTGGCCTTGAGCTCACTTTGTAGCCCAGGCTGGTCTCGAACTCATAACGATCTTCCTGCCTCAGCCTCCCAAGTGCTACGATTACAGGTGTGCGCCACCAAGCACGGCTTTTAAGAAAAAAATTTCCCTGAGTTCAATCTTCAATGCTACTATAAAATTCATTTTACCTTAAATTAGAGATTAATCAAATTAATTGAGAATGCTTTACATTTAAAGTAATTACCGCTAAAGACAGTCTTAGCTCTTCCTTTTTAGCCTCCAATGTTTCCAGTGAGGAACTGGCTGATAGTGCTGCTAAGGATCTCTTGTGTTTAATGACTTGCTTCTGTCTTACTGGCTGCAAGAGTCCCTGAGTTTATCCTCTTGGGAGTTTGTTAGACACCTTAGATTTGTAGACAAATGTATTTAATCAAATTTAGGAAGTTTTCAGCCATTATTTCTTCAACTATTCTTTGGGCCCTCTTTTCTCTCTTCTCCCTCTCTTCTGGGAAATCTACAATGTGTGTATTGGTCTATTTGTTAGTGTTCAATCTACCATGCATTTTTGTTCATTTTTTTCCCCTCAAACTTAGTAATTGCAATTGTCCTATCTTTAAGTTTGCTGATTCTTTCTTTTGCTTGCTAAAGTCTGTGAAGATCTCTACTATATTTTTTATTTCAGTTATTTTACTTTTTAGTTCCTCTTGGGTGTTTTTTCTCTTTCTTTTTTGTTTTTGTTTTTCCGTGTGTGTGCGCATGCATGTATGTGTATGTGACTGAGCATTGGACCCAGGGCTTTTGCACTGAGCTACCTCTCTAGCTCCTTTTTATTTTGAAACAGGGTTGTTCTAAATTACCCAGGCTGGGATCATGCTTGTGATCCTCCTGCCTCAGCCTCCCGAGTGATAGGATTACAAGCATGTGCCATCATGCTCTGCTCTCCTACCATTTCTGACATGAAATGTGTAGGATTTTTTCCTCTATGCCAGCCAATCTGTCAACTTGCCAAAAACCAACCAGTCATTCTGCAATTCAGTTTAACCTGACACTAACTACCAGACTTAGGGCAGACTCCATGATGAGAAGTCACTGCATACTCACTAGAATAATAATGCAAAATACAGACAGTAACAGAAGTGTTGGCAAGCCTTTAGAGGAATTCAAACTCTTGTCATTGTTGGCGCAAATGCAAAATGGTGCAGCCACTTTGAAAAACATTCTGACAAATCATCAAAAGCTTAAATGTAGAGTTGTCATATAATTGATCCATTCCATTTCTGGGTATATACCCACTGTAATGAAAACAGAACATGTATAAGAATGTTCATCCCATCATCACAACCAAAAAGTAGAAACGAGCTCTGTATCTATCAGCTATCAAGAAGAAACCAATTGCAAAGGCCATATAAACAGAAAACAAGTTATTGGATACCAGGTCCTTCAAGGAGCGAATAGAGTGTAATTGCAAAGAGATACAGGTTTTAGTTTGGAGTGATAAAAATATTTTGTCATTACATAGTCACAAAGGTTCCACAACTTTTTGATCCATGTTCTCTAGTTCTCTCAAGCAGCTCCTTTCCAGGTAATGACCGTGGCCTGGGCCATTTTTCATTAGGGATTGTATCATCTTAGAACACTACCTCACAGGGGATATTTCAGAGAAGAATCATAGAAATTGATATATCCCTTTCATTCATATTCTAATCTCTAATATATCTACAAAGGAAACTGTCTAGTATATTCTTTCTCTGAGGTCTAGAAGAGAAAGTTATAATGAAGCTCAGACAACAGCACAAGATAAATAAAAATATATAATATTCAAAAAGAAGAGGCAAAATGTTGTTTTGTAGGTAATTAGCTATAAAAATAACAAGTGAGTCAACTCAGAAGCTCTTATACCTAAAAACATGAAAAACTTGGGAATAGCCATGAATATATCTGTAGTCTATTTTTGTAGCAAATATACTAAATTGATCCCCTTGACACATGTTCCTCTTTTTTTTTCTCTTTCTCTTGATGTACGTACCAGTACTGCAAAAGCTAAAAAGCTGAAACTATATGTCTCAGACTTTATTGCAATATGGATAATTAATGTAATTTCAATTCTGTGGAGCACATTCACAAGATATTTGAATTCAAAGCCAAATTACAGAGGAAAGAAATAGTAGCACACGAAGCACCCACCTAGCCAGTGCTAATCTAGAATTTGCATCATGATTTTGGAGCCACTTTTCTGGTAGCTGTTTGTCATCATCAGATTATTGCTATGGAGAGGGGTTTCCAGACAACAGTTGCTAGTGTGGATTTCAAAACCTCAAGAGTAATTTGATAGTAGGGCTAACAATTAGAACACCAGTTCCAGATGCCCAGTTTCTAGATTACGGCAAAGAAAGCCAAGACAGACCAGTTTTGCAATGTTGTTGCTGTTTTTTGTTTTTGTTTTTTAGTACGAGAGAAATCGAACTCAGGATCTTGAGCATGCCAGGCAGGTGCTTGTGCTGCTGAGCTACATCCCCAGCCCTGCAAAGTTGTTTTGAGAGTGGTTTCTGGTTGCCCAGTCTAGAGCCTACTCCTTCTGCCTCTCCCTTGGGTTTGCAAAGCACTTAATTCATCAGATTAAAGTCCTTCTTACTTAAAATAGCCAGAAGGCGTTCTGTTTATGCAATTGGATCCCAACTGATCTGATTGTTCAGTGAAAAATGCAGGCCACTGAACACTATGTGACTTCCTAATTGCAAAACTAGCCTATAAATTTACCTTTCTCCCCTTCCCAATCCAATGAAAGAGCAAATAGGAAGAGGAGGTGGTGAAGGAGGAGGAGAAAGGGAAGCAGTTGGTAGTTACACCATTAAGTAGGGCATGGTGCTATCACTGGAACGAGAACATTTTGAAATTTCTGAACAATGTTAAGCCAGTGAGATCAAATGGAGGGTCATTAGTGATAGCGATATTAAACGTTCAGTACAAACAAAGCAGAGCTCGCCGAAGATCTTTGAAGTAGCTCTTGGTTATTCAATTTGGAAATGGTGAGAAGTTCTATCTAACCCTGTTGTTATCTGTAACATCTTCTTTTAGGCTTCATTTTGCTTGGATTGTTATGTAAAGTAGGAGAATTTGCCTGACATGTTTCTACATGTAAAATACAGTCAGAATGTTTTAAAATGTACCAAGGATTTTGTTTTTATTCAAGTAGGATCAGGAGAGCGTTGCCATTTAAAGGATAATTTGGGGGTTGGGGAATGTGGCTCAGTGGTAGAGTTCTTGCCCCTTGCATGCACAAGGCCCTGGGTTCAATCCCCAGCACCAGAAAAAAAAAAAAAAGATAGTTCCCAAGAGACCTCGCTCTGAAACACCTGAATTTGTCAGGAGTCAGAAGAGAGAAACACAAGAAGCAAGGCAAAAGCGTGGGCATGAGCCTTTATTGGGGCTGTAGCAGGAAAGACCACCCAGGGAGGGAAGCAGGCTAAGGACAGAGTAGGGACAATGGTGGTGGTGAGCTCTGGGCGGCCAGGACTCTCCCTAGTTGTTCCCTACCAGGCCCTGGGATGATGGGGCAAGCACAGGGAGTGGCCCAGCTTGACAAAGAAGATGGCTGAGGGTTTGTGCTCTGTATTGTTTGGTTTGCATTTGCAGATCTTGCTCTCCAGTCAGTGTGTACTCTTCCTTAGAATTAGCCTGCCCTGAGACAGGTACCGGATCTGCAAGGCTTTAGATGCCAGAAAATAAGAAAATATAGTTAACACATGGAGGAAGTAGAATAAGTACCTCGGCAACATTAGCTGTAGAAAATACGCTAAGAAACTTCAAGAAGTATCAGAAACCGTCTGGGTTTGCTGCATAAATCCAAACGTTAAACAGATTAGTCTCCAGAGTATATAAATTCTGGAAGTTTTTAACAAAATAGGTAAATGTTATGGAATTCTCAAGGGGCCAAGTGCCATGCTAAGAAATTTGAATGTATAATCTCACTTAATCCCCAGCAATCTTGCATAAGAGTAGGTATTAATGTTCTCATGTACAGTTGGGGAAACAAGTTTAGGAAGATTAAATAACCTACCTGCCCAATTTCATGCTACTATTAAGTGCTGGAACTGGCATTCAAAGACAGACTATCTGTCTCGGAGCCCAAGCTCTTAATCACTCTTTTGCTACCTTGCTTCCTGTAATAAAATTAGTTTATAACAAGTAATTAGAAATATTCACAAAGACTTTGGACTGAAGGTCAGCTTAGCATGTTATACTTATAAATATGGGGAGTGTAATAGTATGAACTGCATAGAGTTTTTGCTAGAATTAAATTAGTCAATGTAATGTACTTAAAAAAATAGTGCCCAGCAAATAATGAGCACTCAATAAATGTTAACTATTATACAGGTTTTCTGTCTTCTGAAGTATTTAACCTGCGTATGAGAATTGACTGGCCTGATGTCTAAATAACCTAGTAACAAACAAAAATAAATTTAAAAGTCAATAGTTAACTCTATATACTTTGTAATACCCATCATAACACAAATTCCCATATAAGATAACTGGTTTTATAGGATCATTGATGGTTATCCTAACACTTAAAAAGTTGGATACAAACAGGCATTATATTCTCTACCCTAAACTGTTACTGTATATGAAAACAAGCTTAAGAATATGACAATTTTCTTAAGTAACTTCATTTTACTTTTTAATTAGAGAAAAGCGGTTACAGGAATGGAAAGTACTTAAGAAAAAACAAAAATTTGGGGAATTAAGAGAAATTTCTGGAAATCAGTATGTGAATGAAGTCACAAATGCAGAAAAAGATGTGTGGGTTATAATTCATCTGTACAGATCAAGGTAATTACTATGACATTTCAAAATGTTAACATACCGATGTTTTAAAAGACATTTCTGATTTTAATGTTTTATAATGCATATAACAAAAAGAAAAAGACATATATATTACACATATGTAAATACATCTATAGCGTTTTACTAGTCCTTGGCTTCAGGGCTTAACTTACAATTTTAAAAATATTTTTAGGGGCTGGGGATTTAGCTCAGCAGCACAGCGCCTGCCTGGCAAGAGCAAGGTCATGAGTTCGATTCCCGGTACCAGAAGAAAAGACAAAATAAATAAATAAATAAAAATAAAAATATTTTTATTTCTAGTTTGAAGAGCTCATTTCATTTCTTAGAAAAATAAGTACTCTGTAGTTAGTCAAAAACTTTTTATTATGGAAAACTTTAAAAATTCAGAAAAGGAGAGAATGATAACATAAGCACCCTACCCACAGCATAGACTGAACAACAACCATTTTGTCATATATGTACCATTGCTTCTGCATTTGAAAAAGCATTACAAAGTAAATTATACACTCTGTGGTGATTTATTCCTGAGTACTTCAGCACACATCTTTAAAACACAATGGTGCTGGAGAGAAAAATTCTTTTTTCCTCTAGCTCAGGTTCATTGGCTGGGTCCTACAAAACAGCCAACAGATTAACAAGAGAAAAATAAATAGAAGTGCGTTAACTCAGACTGGGGAAGGAAAAAAAGTGGAAAGGAAAGGGACTTTGCAGAGGTGACAAACTGTGGGAAGGTAAATATATGGGGGAAACTAATAAGAGATAAAGGCCGTTTCAGTAAGGTTTGTTATGTAGACTTCTCTGGTCTCCAGTTATCTCCATTTATTAAGAATCATCATGATTCTTCCTGATAGAGGGAAGGCAGAGAGTTTTCTTGTGTTTCTTCTCAGCTACTTTCAGCTCAAAATAATCCTCATGCCAGAGTGGCATATTTTAGGCCAGGACGCCCTGAACCTGTCAAGGGCGTTCTTCCATTTCCCCATCTAACTGCATTAACGGTAGTTCCTAGTAGCATCTTCTACTCATCTTTACTGAAGTCTTCCCAACTGACTTCAAGTTTTCTTTAATATATATCATTTGAACAATGGAACCAATCAAAGACCATGTAGATAGAGATATTTCACGTCTCTTGAGGCTCTTTTAATAGAATAATTCCCTGCACATCCTCACTTTCCAAAAAGTTAATTTTAAAATGCTGCATTGTGCTAATGTACAAAGTCCCTGTTCCTTATCAGCCTCATACAGTAACGGCTGGGAAGGGTAGACATTCCCCCTAGTCTCATTCTCTCCCTCTCTGGCTGGCTTAAGTTTCCAGACCCCGGGCCTCAAGGCTCTGATATTCTGCGGACAGAGGCCATGACAGTAGCCCTCCTCCTCCTTACCTTAATCTCTGAATAATACCTTTCATCTCCAGATTCTTAGAGACAGAGCAATTTATGCAAATTGTACTTCTGTAACTTATCGGCTCAGCCATTTCTCCGCCAAATTACAATAGGACATGCTCCATAAAAGTAAACATTACTTTTATTGTTAGCTAAAACTATTGTTAGATTAATTTTTCAAGAGCTTTAAAGTCTTAAAAATAATCACCTTCCCATCTTATCTGTACTATTTACTGAGTAAACCAATTTGTAAATGCTGCAGGTAGTTCTCACAAATAAGGATGAGAAACACCGACACGTACCAATCTGAGATGTGTTTGTAGTAGGTGTTATATACTCACATGGTTCACTGACTGTCTCTTTTGGCCCCTCGTGATTAGCAGAATGGATGCTGCTTCTGAGCATATGTTAAAGTAAATAAATTTTTTCCTTTAAAGGTTATTTCTAAATAAACTGCTAATTTTGACAAATAATTTTCAAAAATTCATAGAGGTTGAAGTGTGTTTCAGTGTGCTTCAAAATATCATATGCTTTGCTATTCTCAAAAAATAAGAATGTAGTTTCATAATATTTTAAATACTTGTGACTTCAGAAGGTTTTCTAGTGCCAATCCAAGATCATTGTGTAAATTATTAGTTTTCTTCACACTAAGAAAACTCATTTGGGGATGGGATATAATTCAGTGGTAGAGTACTTGCCATATATTGACATATAGCATATATTTTAAGAAAATCCATCTATAATAATCCAAATTTATAAAACGTAATAGAAAATGATTATTTGTTGCAAATAGTCTTAGAAAAGTCAGAGGGTTTTGGTTTTGGTAGTGGGGATTGAACCCAGGGCCTTTGCACTGGTCAAAGTTCCCAGCCCTTATTTATTTATTTATTGAGATAGATCTTACTAAGTCGCTAAATGGCCCGTGTTGTTTTGCAGTGCTGGGGATCAAACCTAGGGCTTTGCATATACTTTAAGCACTCTACCTCTGAGCTACATCCCCAACCCAGAAGAGTCTAGTTTTTAAACAATGGATTTATCAATAACTTTAAATATCATAAAATGAAATGTAACTGTTAAACAAATTTGGGTTTCTAGTTACCTCCTATGAATTTTATAGGCAGTAAGAGTTTCTTTTTCACTAGGCTCCCAAATTCCTCATCATGAAATGTATACAATTGGGCCTATTTTTTACCCGAATCAAGGCTCAGTCTGTAGGATCCCTCATAGCGCTCTAACTTAACCTGAGCCGGGAGCCTAGCTGCTCAGCTTGACGCCAGCTTTGTCACTGGTTTTCATCAAATCCTACATTTACGTCATTCATATTCCCCCATGTTCATATTTTGAGCTGTCAGTACCACAGACAAGCCTATCATTTGTCTTTTTCAGCTTTGTCCTCCATAAACCAATAAATAACATCACCTAAAATTAGGAAGAGTTCTAAGAATTTCATTGATGCTGGGGCTGCAAAGGCAAATAAAGCATCTGTCTTTTCTATTGCATAAATTTAATACAACAGAGGGAGAAAATACAATAATAAACTACTTTAGGTGCTATTGCTGAAGTCTAGAGAGCAGAACTAGGGCACCAGAGATGGAAGTCCTGCCTTTGGAGAATTAAGTACGGAAAGTTCTTATGGTAGCTGATTCTTGATTTTGAACTTAAAAAAAGAATGAACTCCCCAGGTTTATGAGTTGGAGGGAGTTCAACAGGATGAAAGTGTTATTTTAGAAGGAATATGCAGCTTAAACAAAAGCACAGAAATATGAGGTTTCATGGTGCTTTGGGAGGCTTTATGTAATTTGATCCGCCTCAGGCACGTGGTGCAATAAGGTGTCAAGCAGAAAATAGTATTAGAAAGGTAGGCAGGGGCCAGGCCATGGAGACCCTTGAAGGCCCCAGTACCCCACTACAGAGTCCAGACTTTATCTTGGGCAGTGAGGAGCCACTAAAGAATTTTGAGCTTGGAGAATCTCAGAATTACACAATGAGATTTCCATGCTGAGCTTCCTTTGTAAACAGCTCAAGGATCAATAGAGACAATGGGTCTGGAAACAGATTTAGTGTAACCTGATGTAGCTCTGATAAGAAAGGAAAGGAGTAGAGCAAAGGGTAGAAGTGGATATGAAATGAGGAGATGGAATCAATATGACCTGATTACTGTTCAGACATTGTGGAAGAAATGAAGATTTTTGGCCTGAGTGCCAGCCTAATAAAATATAGATCACATTTTTTTTTTTTTGGACGGGGAAGAAGGCAGATGAAATTCACCAGCTGTTGGTGTCAGGATGGTTAGGATTGTACAGTGAACGTGTCTGCAATGAGAACAGGGTCCAGCATACAATTGTAAGGAACATCTGCATTTGAACAAAGACAGAAGAAAGTCGCAGGTTATAAGGAAATTAACAGAAAGTGTATTGCAGAAACCAAAACAGGAGAGCATTTCAAAAATGGAGGTAAGAAAAACAGACTCTTCCCCTTCCCTTTTGAAAAACGGCTGATGCTAGAAGGAAAGAGAGCAGCTATTAGAAGGAGAGAGAGGACTGTAAGGATCTAAGATTTATTAACTTAAATATGCTTACAGTGGGAAGCGAATCTTTGGAGGAGTGATGAGAAACCGGAAGACTTAAGCGGAATAACCAAGTGCCGTAGGAGATGGGAAGGAGTGGAATAAAGGAGAGGTGGTAGAGCTAACCCTTAAACAGTCGCTCTCTGCGAGGGATCTACACTAGAAGAAAGGGGGCAAATTAGAGAATGGCATAATAGGAGTTAAGTGAGCAAGCAAGAAAACTTGGAGGTTTTGGTCATACTTCTAATCAACTTTAAATTTCTGATGAGAAATAATTCTGGGGAATGGGGACCAGGAGGTGGCATGGAATGGAATGGAATGATTAAGATGAGGTTGAGCTTTCTTAGGGTCAAGAAAGTCAAAGACGTCTGAGATGAGGAACTTTGAATATGATAATCTCATGTGGAAATAAACCCACGAACTTTATTTCAACTAAACACTCAGAGATTTCTTAGAATTCTGCCATTTTGTTTGTTTTGTTTTGTTTTATTCTGTGTCTACTGGAAGCTACACTGACTTAAATGGATAGTAAGTTTAATGTAGTTAAACTTAATGCCCAAGTTAGGCATTAGATTCCCACGATAGCTACTTTATTTCTAGGGTAACGTGGTGTTTCCAATAAGAACTCGAGGCTTGCACCTACAGTTTATCATTGGTAATGGTAATGATGATTAGGATATGTCTTTGTGTGAAAACTAGAGATATGTTATTGTTACGGAGCTGTCTCACGTATTTTATTAGACTGAAGTGAGACTAGGCTGTTCTAAAAATATATTATGTGTACTGTTTTCCTTTTTAGCATCCCGATGTGTTTGTTGGTTAACCAGCATCTTAGTCTCCTAGCAAGAAAGTTTCCAGCCACTAAATTTGTTAAAGCCATTGTGGATAGCTGCATCGAGCACTACCTTGATAACTGCTTACCAACAATTTTTGTTTACAAGAATGGCCAGATAGAAGGCAAATTCATTGGAGTTATAGAATGTGGAGGGATAAATCTCAGGCTGGAAGGTAACATGACTTTTTGAATTTGTTTATAAAGAGATGAAAATTTCTGCAGTTTAATAAGCATCATGACAGCTTCTTGCCTTAAGAAAATAAAAGCTTTCCCTTGTTTCTAGTCCTTTCTTGAATGCCTCCAAAATAATTTTCCTTCAGTGGTATTCTTGTCATAAATTTTTGGTTTATTAATTTCTTCAAACTATTTAACCTATGAAACTGAGAATCTTGTAGCTAAAACTCCCTGCCAGTCTTTATTTTCCCTGTCCAAACCCTATTCCTGTGTGTCTTCCTCTTGTCCTGTTTTGTAACCCTGGACTAATTCATAACCTATCTTCAGGCTGGGTTGTAGCTCAGTGGTACAAGCACCTACCTAGCAAGTGCAAGGTCCTGAGTTCAATTCCTAGTTCAAAACAAAAAAATCTATCTTCATTTTCCCACTGACTTTTTGTAGACTATATTATCTATACCACTCATTTTTACTTATTCAAATGCTATCCCCATTTTATTGATTCATCAGTTCCTCTTGCAGCTTCACTTCCTAACAAATGCTGGGAACACGTCTATTGTTTCCTGTTTTATAGCATACAGTTCCATCATGCTAAAGCCATAGTGAACGGCTGTTTTAAACAGTTGTCCTTCAGTCTGTCAATACCCTAAAAACATGTGTCTGTACTAAGACCAGAATAGCTGGTTCAGATTCCCTTTTGCTTTGTTAGTCTTGTTTTTCTAGCTGCTGCTCATGTTTTAAAGTTAAAAATTCATACACAGGAGTACCAGAAATTATGGTCTTACTCATGAAATCCCTATTGTCTCACTGTGTTTGGCAGCGACTACAAAAACACATAGACTGGAAGGGTATAAACAGAAAGCATTCGTTTCTCACAGTTGTGGAGGCTACAAAGCCGAAGTTGGAGGCCCTAGTGGATTCAGTGCCTGGTGAGGGTCTCTTCCCCAGTGACTTCTTCCATGTTCTCCCACGGCAGGAGGAGCAAACAAGTTCCTTGAGGCCTCTTTTACAAGGGCACTAATCCCACTCACAAGAGCTCTACCTTTATAATCTAATAACCTTCCTAAAGACCCGCTTCTTAGTACCATCATCTTGAGGTCAGGACTTCAGTGTATAAATTTTGGAGTGTACAAACACTTAAGACCAGAGCCGTTGTCAAAACATGTGGGGTTTGGGGACGTAGCTCACTGGTAGAACACTTGGGTAGCATAGATCACCAGCACTGGAGAAAAAAAAAAGAAGTGAACATTCATTTGCTCATGTTTATTTGCTTACACTTGAAAAACATACTGTAAATATAGTTGATGTTACCTGCATTTCTATTCCCGGTCCTATTCCTTTTCCTGCTTCATTGGAAGCAAACACTGCCATGAATTTAGTGTATGTCTGTCCTTTCTTCGTTTTTTTTTTTTTTTTTTTTTTTTTTTTTTTTTTTTTTTTTTTGTGTGTGTGTGTGTGTGTGCTATCAGATATATCTCAACTTATTTATCATTCACCTACTGGTAGAAATGTGAGTCGTTATGTTTCCCCTTTACAAATTACTTTGCTGTTACCATCTTTGTGCCACTTTGGGAAATTTCTTGAGGACTTACAGGGAATTGTAGGATCTTAGGACTTCAGCTATTTTCAGTTTCATTAGACAGGTGACAAACTGCTGCATCAATGACAGTACCAATTTATCCTCCCATCAGCCGCATCTTCAGTAGGTTTTATATTATTGTACTGTTATTTTTGTCAAGTTGATGGCGATGAAATGGTATCTTGTTATTAAGTTTGGATTATTAGTAGGGTTAGGCATTTTGTTGTTGTTGGGTTTTGTTTGTTTTATATCTTTTTTTTTTTTTTTTGAGACAGGATCTCAGTATGCAGTTCAGGCTGGCCTTGATCTCACTTTGTAGGCCAGGCTGGACTCAAACTTGAAGAATCCTCCTGCCTCAGCCTCTTGAGTGCTGGAATTACAGACGTGTGCCAACACGCCTGGCTGGCATTTTTAAGTATATATTGATCATTGTACTTTCCTCTCCTAATTGTTTATATGCTTTGTCCATTTTTCAGTTGTGTTATTTCATTGATTTATAGAATGCATGTGCATGAGTATATATGCATATATGTGTGTAAAGTTTTGGATACTGCTTTTATAGTATTGCTAATATATTCTCCATGATGATACAGTTCCTTACCATTTCAGTGTATGTGTGTGTGTGGTGCTGGGGATCACATCTAGGACCTAAAATACTAAAAAAGCTCTATAATTGAGCTATATTCTCAACCTGTTTGCCCTTTTCTTTTTTTTTTTTTTTTTTTTTTGAGACAGGAAAAGATCCTAAAACTCAAACTTCTGGATTCAAGCAATCTTCCTGCCTCAGCCTCCCTAGTACAGGCATGCACCATGAAACCCAGCTTCATTTTGATTCTCATACAAAAGTTACAATACTCGCATAGTTGAAATTATTAATCTCTATCTTTATTTTACACTTTTTGGGCTTTCTTTTTAAAACACTTCTTATTTCTAAGGTAAAAAGATAATTCTCTACACTTTCTTAGTTTTTTTTTTTTTTTAAACAGGTCTTAAATAGCATTGGTAGGACATAAGAAATGTATCTGACTTCATTTTTTCCCTCTAAAAAATGCAGTTATTCCAGCCCCACTTATTAAAAGTTCATTTCCCATAGATATTTTTGAAAATGATTTAAATTATTTAAATAATAAATAATTATTTAATTATTTTAACTGGTAAAATACATGAAACATAAAATTTATCATGGTAACCATTTTAAAATACATGGTTTAGTTGGCCTATGTGGATTCATTTTGTGCAGCCAGTCTCCACACCTCTTTTCTTCCTGCAGAACCGGAACTCTGCCCCTGCTGAACTCCCCACTCCCTTTGTCGCTCAGTCTGCAGCAACGACCTCGCCGCTTTCATCTCTCAGAACCTGGCCACTCTAGGTCCCTCACCATTGCAATCACACATTTGTCTTTTCGTGACTCTTCACTTTGTATGACACCTTCAAGTTTCTTTGATGTTGTAGCACGCATTCTCATTTCCTTTGTGAGGTTAAAAGTACCAAATTTGGTTTATACATTTACCTCTCAGTAGATCCTTGGACGCTTCCATCCTTCGGCTATTGTGAATAACGCTGCCATGAACACGAGTGGGAGTATGTGTTGGAGTCCTGGTCTCCACCGTCCTGGGAATAGACTGAGACGAGGAACCTCTGAGGGGTGGTAATTCTTTTAAGGAACTGCCATGCAGTTTTCCCTAACAGTGGTGTCATTTTACTCCTTGACCACCAGTGCACAAGGGTCCCATTTCTTTGCATATTTGCCAACACTTGTCTTTACTGCCGTCCTACTGGGCTTTCATGTTTACTGCATCATTTTGACAGTTTAAATTGCTTAAATACATTTCTGAAGTCTGTATCTACTAGTTCTTTCGCTTAGCTCTAGATTCATACAGCACTGTGTAATTACTACAGCTTTCTAACATCTCTGGTAGCTCTTTCTGAGACAGGGTCTCACTATGCAGCTCAGGCTGGCCTTGAACTCACTTACGTAGCCCAGGCTGGCCTCAAATTTGCAATGACCCTCCTACCTCAGCCTCCTGAGTGCTGGGATTACAGGTGTGCACCACCACGCTCGGCTCTAGTAGTAGGTCTTTTTCAGAATTTCACGTTAAAAACCCCGTTAAATATTTATTAGAATCAAATTTATAAATTAATTCTTGGAGAAGTGTTACTGTGTTGCTGTCCATCTGTCCACGAACGAGATATATCTTTTTTTTTTTTTTTCGTTGAGACAGGGTTTTTGCTATCCAGTTTAGGTTACCTTAAATTCATGCAATCCCCTTGCCTCAGTCTCTCTTGTGTGGGGGTTACATGTATGGGCCACCAGACCTGGCTTATCCTTTCTTTTATGTCTTTAAATTATATTTTGCAATTTTCCTCATGAACGTTTTGCTCATCTTAGTACTTAGCAATAAATTCAGCAAATTTAAATTTGTGAGGACATGGGATTTGGGGCTGTCAACCTTTTGAATATTGGTGTACTGGGCTTTGTTTCTTGGACACTGTTAGTTTGGATCTAAAAATTTCCCCCAAAGGCTCCCGTGTTCAGAGGTGGGGCTTTTGAAAGGCAACTGCATCCTGAGGGCTCTAACTTCGTCAGGGGGTTAATCCACTCACAATCTGATGGCTTTACCGGGAGGTAAGGGAAACTTCAGAGGCGGGGCCTGATTGAAGCGAGTGTCACGGCAGTGTGACCTGCCCCACCCCTTCCTCTCTCACTCCTTGTGCTTCTGGGCGGCCATGAGGTGAGCTTTCCACTACCCTCGCCCTCCTGCCAGGGTGCACTCCTTCACTCAGGCTCAGAAACAGCCCCAAACCCTTTTCTCCTTTTAAACTGATTCCATCAGATATTTTATCACAGCAGCAGAAAGTAACACATTTATTTTAATAATTCATATTTTCTTGAAATTCTTCCACTAAAGTTTTCAGATGTACTGGCATCTTTGCTTTTTTTCCCACAGTAGTCTCAAGGCTTTTAAATTGAGTGTCTGGTGTTCCCCTTTACTTACATCTTTACCAGATCTTAGGGTGTGTGTGTGTGTGTGTGTGTGTGTGTGTGTGTGTGTGTTATTGTCAGTCTAATGGATAAAAAACGGTATCTTGTCATTGTTTGGTTACGTCCCATGTAAATTCTTTACCTTATGTGGTTTCTTTCTGTGGACATTTTTGCCTGGAGTATGTCTAAGGCATTTTCTTCACTATACCCCTTTCTGCTTCACTGTTCTTTTCTTAGCTTCTTGAAGTTTTAAACCATTTATTTTCAGTCATTTAAAAATAAACATTTTAAACTATAATTTCACCTTTTAATTTTGCTGTATCTAATAGGTATTCTGATATTGTAATAATTTCATTGTCATTCAGTTTCAAATACATCTCCATTTCCACATTATTTTTATTAGTCAACTTGTTCCATACCGGTGATAAATTTCTCTTTGCATTATTTTCAAGATTTTCATGCAGCTCTTTGATGGGTTATCTGTTGCAGAACTCGAACGGAAGCTTGCAGAAGCTGGAGCAATCCAGACTGATTTGGAAGAAAACCCCAACACAAGCACTGAGGATATGGTGGCATCTTCAATTAGAAACCCTTCTATTTATGATGATAGTGATAGTTCCAACAGTGATAATGGCAACAAGTAGAAATATTCAATAAAGAGCTTTAAAGTATATGTATACTCAATGTTTTATTTACTATTGGTTTTATAATCAGAGATCAGGACATTTACAGATTTTCATTTCGATGCTAGAATTATAATTTTATTCTATTTAATTTATGCTATCTTAAAAACTTTCATGTATTTCAGAATACTCATTGCCTCTGACAAAAACACAATTTCTATTCATTCCTTAAAATTCTTCTGTGACTTATTCTCTTTCTAACCCATATTAGACAAAAACACAAATATTGTAAGTCCTTTGTATTTGCACTTCCTGGAGGACTTATGAAAGAAATAATGAAAACGAACCAAGAAATTTTAAGTCAACATGTTTTTAATCATATAGGGACCTTGAGTAAAGATTCTTAAATTAGGGGCTGGGGATTTAGCTCAGCGGCAAAAGCGCCTGCCTGGCAAGCACAAGGTCGTGAGTTCGGTTCCTGGTACCGGAGAAAAACAAACAAACAAACAAAAAATCTTAAATTATTTACCATCCGCTTTTCTTTGACATATCTTACATAACAAAAAAATTAACAATTTAATAAAATACATTCTGAAGATTTTGAAAAGTACATAAGAAATACCTCTGCTTATTATTGCTTTCAATAGTTGTTATTAAGGTAGAAAATTACTAAGTCTTTATCATGAGAAAACAGAATTTTAGGACACTGCAAAAAGACCTGCAGGATGTCTCACCTTGGCCTAATAATGAACATTGTTTATAGAGGAAAGTTTGGGAAATCCTTTGCATAACAGTTCAGTAATAGATTTTTTTCCTATTTGGTTTGTATTGATCACCCGTAATTCTGAATATGGATGTTCACTGATGCTTCTGAGAGAATCCAGACTAAGTTTAAATGCTTAGATTACAAAAATGAATTGTTGAGAAAGGAGGGACCAACAAAAGGCTCTCTGCTGCTACTGGTGGGGTAAGGAATCTCACACGCTGCAGAGAATCGTGAAGTAGAAGGAAAATTAAATGCAGATTTGAGTAATAGTTTATTTTACCAGATAAAGTACAATCATGTCAGAGGAGTAGCTACCTAGTTATATTGATCCAACTACTAAACTCCTTAAGAAATGAATGGGTAAATTCCTATTCAGGATAAAAGTTGTCAAACGAATGGTAGAGCCATATTATTATAAAATTACAATGTAACACTACTGCACATAAATGTGAACATTATTTTCCCCTCAAATTAAAACCAAACACAAAATCTCTCTCTCCCTAACTGTAATCTTTTTCCTTTTCTTTTTTTCTTTTCCTTTCTTTCTTTCTTTGCCTTTTTTTCTTTCTTTCTTCTTTCATTCTTTCTTTTATGAATACATACTTACTAACCTTTTTAAAGTTAAAATTAACACATTAGTTGAAATAAGGAAATAGGCACCTATTTCCCTCTGAACTCAGATCTACTAAGTGGGAGCTAAGTTTTTATCCACAAACACAGTTCTAAAGACTTTCACACGTGGACAAGAGAGACCACCATAAGGAAAGAGGACAGTTTGTCAACTCCTGGGTCCTTAATGTGTTTCTCATTGAAAGCATGATTTGTGTTTTCTTCTGAGGCACTCAGGGAAATAAAAGTGGTTTTGGCTAAAAGCCGTGACTCTTCACTTGGGTGTTCAGATGCCCTATGCGAACAAAGCCTGACCTTCATCTTGTAAAACCCTGGATCAAGTCCTTTTCAGCTCCATATACAGAATGCTAGTCATTTAGGGAATTTGTCTAAAAGTTCAAAAAGCAAAGTTTATCTCACTACCTTAAGGCTATCTCACTACCTTAAGACTCAGAATATCAGGTTAAGAGATTCCCAAAGACACTCAGCTTTGCCCAAAAATCTCCATTACCCTAAGACAATGGTCACCCTGAAGTCCAGCAGAGCTTCACGTGACTGAAATTGCCCTTAAGCCCTGAAGATTCAGCTACAGGGAATTGAGTAGCCACCCAAGTAATGATGATTCCTCCAGAGCTACAGAACAGGACCGAGATAACAACCAACTGAATCCCAGTTCACCATGGCATCCTAGAAAACTCGTCTCCCTTCTCTTGTGAATAGGCCAGTCTGACGCTCTCCATGGGAGTGTGCACCCTCTAGCTACTCAAGCTGGAGTCCTTCCCCTATCCTTACTCTGTCAGGACTCTGGTTTGACCTGTCAGCTCCTCAAGCCAAAATCCCTCCTCATTTTCTTACTTTCCAGTTAAAGCTTTTGCCTGTAAACTTATGCTATTGCTTTACATTTCCATTATCAGTAAAGAAAGGACACAGGCTAGCCAGGGACAAAATCATAAAGTTAGACATGTTATAAATGGCTGGCTGTGACCCTAACCCTGCTCATGGGCAAAATGTACACACATTCTTCTGGCAAGGACTCATGCCTGTCATCACAGGTCACTACTTCTACACACCGCTTTATGCACACATCCTCCTTTTAGTAGGGTATGAATATTTATCAGAACGTGGGGAAACTAATATGCCATAATTTTCCACTTTACTGAATGTATTATTTGATGGGTAGAAATGAGTTTTTAACTTGCTGATATTCAACCATCTTTGACACACAAAAATGGATACTCCATATACTTCAGTCTAATATTCTTGTCCTGTCAGGTGTGTTGCTTGGAAGCTCCTCCCGCTACTTTAGAGTACCTTGTGTAGTCCTGGAATCAGCTGCACTTCCAGGGAGCTTGACAGAAATGTGGACCCTCTGGCCCTATCCCAGGTAGGGGAATTTCAGCTTGGTGAGATCCCCAAGTGACTGCCATGAGAATTAAAATTTGAGAAGCACCAAGCACTAAATCCCTTACAGTTGGTTTCAGCTTGTTCTTTAGCTCTTACACCACACTCTAGATTATTACATCTAACCAGCTTGAAATTCCAATCTCAGTTCCAAGCTAAACATTCTCTGGTTGAACTTATGACTCAAGGAACTCTGAAAATGAAAGGTGGGGTTTGTTTTTAACCGATTTATTATCAGTGCTTTCTGGGCCCATCCCTCTGGTTCTGGGGACTGGGAGGCAAAACAGGGATGTTTCTCCTAACTGTACAATCCACAGCACACCTACACGCTCACTCTTTAGTGAGGTACACTGAGTTCTCCTGCAAATGCAGCCAACTTCCCACAACCCTCTCTTGCCCACCACTGGGGATGCATCAGTGTTAGCCCTCTCCTCATCCCTGTTTCCTTCCCCAGGAGTTTACACAGCCTCTCGTTGGAAGAATATCCATCTCCCTTAAGTGTCAAGAGAGTTCAAACCTGGATAGCACTTTCCACGCAGCATTAATTGAACCAACACAAAGTTACCCATCTTGCCATACCCAATGATGGATGTGTGGACTGTTTTACTTCAGTCCACTCCCTGGCCAGCTATTTCTCTCCAAGTCTCTCTCCTCCCACTCGGGTTAAGCACAGGCAATACCAACAAATCTGCCGGCAGATGAGCTACTGGTCTTCCCTTCTCAGTCACCTCGTTTCTCTTGTTGAGCCTTTTGGAACCTTATTTACCTAATGTGGAGGGAAATGGGATATATAAAGGAAAGGAAAAGCCACAGTATTTACCAGGAACCTAAAGCTTCAGTGATTCTTCCAAGTATTACTCTTTTTCTAAGTATTGTGCTTTAATGGTCTGTGCGAACAGACTGAAGGGAGCATCCATATTTGGGATAACCAAAAAGAGGTATCAAGTAGGTAATTGTCCACTGGTAAGCCTCACGTGCTCGTAGGTGGGGCTTTCCGGAGTTCGCCGGATCTAAAGTGTGGGATTAAGGGTGTGCAGTACTAAATTAGCTCACTGACTGGAATTAGCACAGTTCTGGGCGTGCTGAATGCATTACTGAGGACAGAAGCCCCACTGTTGGTGTGGGTGGCACTACCCAAAAAGCTTACACCCTAGATGGGACAAAAGGAAAAGGCAGGCTTGCTGTCTGCTGCTTCCTACCTTCTGTTTGCCACACCATGACCTGCTTCTCCTCTGTGATGCCCCTGCCATGCCACCCTGCCTTGCAGCCAGCTGACTATGGACTGAAACCTCTGCAAACTATGGTCTAAAACAACCCTTTCCTCCTCTAACGTTGGGTATCAAGTATTTTGTCCCAGCAATGAGAATGTTTGACTCCTGGTACCAAAAACTGTCTTAGTTACTTCTTTGTTGCTGGGAAAAAATACCTAAGACCCGCAAGTTAAAGAAGGAAAGGTTTATTTCGGCTCAGACTGTAGAGGTTTCATGTCATACTCAGCTGGCTCCGAGACAGGGTGGCATGGCACAGGGTCATGGCAGAGAAATAGTCCATGGCAAGGTGGCAGGGGCGGCAGCAGCAAGATTCCTTTTTCCTTTTATGGGTGGTGCCACCCATGCCTAGGGTAGGTTTCTCATTTCCCACACCCAGAACTATGATAAACCAATTAGTGGACTAATCCAGTGCCACACACCCTGGATCCAGCCACCAAAAAGCCTCACCTATGACTGCATGAGGTTTTAGGTGACATCTAGATATAAGCCCTAACAGTAGGGAATACAAAGGAGAGGGAGGTATAGGCAGGAGGTAAAGTTTTAAGCCATTATAACCACTCCTAGGGTTCCAACTGGCAAAACTACAAATTTACAACCACTATCCTCATCACCCAAGCCACAATTTTCTTTGTTTTGTTTTTCTTCCTGTACCAGGAATCGAACTCACGACCTTGCGCTTGTGAGGAAGGCACTTTGCCGCTGAGCTAAATCCCCAGCCAAGCCACAATTTTCTGAAATGTTCCTTCTTGTAACTTTTAAGTACTGCATGGCTCAAAGGAACTACTTGATTTGCTTGGTGTCTCTCAGTTTAGAAGTCCTAGTGAGGATTTAAGACTAGACTTTTAACTATGAAGTGCATAAGCAGTGACTATATTGTATTTCCCTCTACTCTAAAGGAACTAGAAGAATGAGTAATTAACTAAGCCACGTATGCTTTTAAAAAACAAAACAAAGTTTACCTTGTATGTCCTGCTCTGCATATCTCAAAATTTCTATTTTCTGATTCACCTTTAACCATACTGGTAAAACTAGGAAGGTCAATGAATGGATGAGAAAGACATTGAAAAGAATACACACTACTTTGTGACTGATGGAACACAGGGAGCAAAGGGAAGAATCCGAACAAAGGAGACTTGATTATCACCCAAAATGGAATGCCAGTGTTAAAAAATACCAGGTTCTATTCTGTAATCGCACACATGTGCACAGCCTCAACTGCCTTATAAAACAGGTTATTTGCCCCTTTTACAGCTGAAGAAACTGAAGAACAACTGACGGGTATCAGTGGAAAAAGAGTAGGAAATGCCGTTTGACGGGGTAAATCAGGTGAAGAGAGGGCTGGAAATTCTCGGTTGGCAGGGTTGCAAGGCACACAAGGAGGGAACACAATGAATTAAACTGTGTTTAAGAGGAGAAGGTAGCTGGGGAACACGTAAGTGCAGGATCTAAGAAATTCCCGGCAGGATTTGTTTTTGGAAGCATACAATGTGGAAGCAGGAAAAGCTATTAGAAATAGTATTTTTCTTGAAGAAACTTCAGGGGAAAGGGTAGTTGTGAACTGAACCGTGGGAAGTATTCAAGCCAGAGCACTGAGGAAAAAAAAAAAAAACAAAACAAAAAAACGGATTATCAACAGGTCTTAGTAAATAATTAAACAGAAAATGAGCGAGAGGGAGGAGTCAGAGATGAAGGCAGTTTCATCCTGGTGACTAAGAGGACAATGAAACCATTAAAAAGGGCAAAGGTGTTTTTGAAGATACAGGGTTTAGAAGATGTGGAATAGGAGAAGGGTCCAGCGTCCCTAGAATAAAACGCAGACACCCATCCTAAGAAAAGCACGCAGACTTTGTTGTTCGGCTGCAACCTGCCTTATCAGTATTATTAATCTTGCCTTCTCTCTTCCTATCTACCATTATATCAGCACTCTTTAATGGAACTGTATGGACAGAAAACCTCTTACTAGTTGAAGCGATAAAACACACCACATTCAAGAATTAATCATCTGAAATTTTCAGAGGAATCTAGTGCACATTAATGGTGGGGCATCAAACATGTCTCCACACCAAACCTCCATCTGTGGATCTGCTTTTTTCCATGGTGCCTTCTTTCTAATCAGTTGTGCACCGAAAGAAACTCCAGGGTTCTCTCCAGAACCAAGTCCCCTGGAAAAGACCTAACACCCTGAAACTCAGAGTTCAACATTCAAATGTGCTTTCTCCCTGCTGTACTACCCAGATCTTATGGCCTGGGTGGAGAACGGTTAGTCCTTCGTAAACATACGCGGAATGAACAGAAATGTCTATCAAAATCCCTTCCAGCGTCCAATGGAGCGACTGCCAAATCATGCTTTCCCATCCCCCACAGAAGGAGACTTCTCAGGTGAAGCCCGGCTCGCAGCCGGGTGGTGCACGCCCGCAATCCCGGCTGCTTGGGAGGCTGAGGCAGAACTGCAAGTCTGAGTCCAGCCTGGGCATTTCAGCGTGACAGTCTTTCAAAATTAAAAAGCGAGGGCTGGGAAATGTAGATCAGTGGCAGAGTACACAGCTAGCACGCCCCTGGCCAAAACACCTCTCCCGAAGGATTGGATTTAAGTCTCTCAGTGCTAAAGAGGGTCCTGCTTCCTTCCCACCGAGGCACCTCCCGTCACCCATAATATCCTTCAGGTTTTAATAAGAGGCCAGACGGAAAACCACAAGCGAGCAAACACCGAACACTGGACTTCCCGCCTCCTCCCCGGCCCGGGGCGCCCGCCGGTCCCCAGACCAGCCAGCAGCGAAGCCCCGCAGGCGGCGATCGCGCGCGGGCCGGGGGCCGACCCGGGGCCAGGGGCCGCCGCGACCTCCGGGGTACACGCGAAGTCGAGCCCGGCGGAGGGTTCCGCTTTCCGGCCTCCACGCGCGGGCGGGGGGCGCTTCCACAGCTCCCGGCACCACGCCGACCGCCGAGCCGCCGGACCTACCCCTGCCCCGGCCGGGCCCTGCTTCCCCGGCTTCCCGGAACCGGCGCCCTCTAGGCCGGCGGGGAAACGGGGCCGGGGATCCGGGGTTGGCTCAGCGGCCGCG